AATACTTTCAACACTCCTTACATGAGTAATCACAAAAATAAAACATAAGAAATCATGAATATAAATGTAAAACTTATCCCTTAAATCATATTAATTTAAATTTAAATTTCAAATTATAAATCTAAATATAATCTTAAAGATAATGATATAAAAATAATAATAAAATAAATAATAAATTATGATTTTAATGGATAAATATCTTTATCTCTAATGAATAATTTTAATATCTTAGATAAATTCTAATAATTCTAAGTAATCATTATCCCAAATTTCATCAATAGGCCAAGAGCAACGGGTATAGCCTAGGAGAGCAATGATGACATATAAAACAAGTCTTAGAGAATAATAAATCTTAGTCGCATTAGCCTCAAATTAACTAAGTTAATTATAGTATACTGCAGACTCAACCAAGATTATAATTCTCAAAGAGTTAGAATCCTAAAGCTAAATTGATTAAAAGGACTATTAAAATAGTAAGAGACAGTATTACAGAAAATAGCTATTGGAGCACCTTTATCAAAGCATTTTTATTTAAAAAATGCTCCAAAGGCATGACGCGGAACTCATTGGAATGTTTCTTGTTAAAAACGCTCCGATAAGTCTTTAGAGCCTTTCAGGGCCCAAAATGTTCTCATAGGAGAGTTATTTTTTTTAAAAAAAAACAATAGAACCTACAGGGGCTTTCATAGGTAAGAAGGCTCTTGTAGGTTTTTATTTTAAAAAAATATATGCGCAACCCTTCAATTTCATTCCCCCCTTCAGCAAAACACAGCCCTAAACTCGTTTCCCTCCCTCTCTCCGAAGATATCTACGAAGCTGTCGTACCATCCGCTCGAAGATGCCGCACCATCGCCTCAAGCCTGTCTTGATTCCTTCGCCTCAAGTCCGCGCTTCAGTTCATCGCCACATCCATCAAACCAGATCTATTCTTCCATTACCTGTGGCAGTGGAGTCTGTTCGTCCTTGTTCCAGGTCTGTTTGGTTGATCATTATCCACTTTCATGCCTCTTCCAAGATTTTATGGTGCATTGTTCGTGGCGATGTTCTTGCAGTTTATTCATTCTAGTTGTTGACATCAGATAACAGTCATGAGCTTTTGCTTAACCTCTGTTATTTTATCGCAGTGCTCAGGATTGGAAATTTTCTGTAAAGCAGTTTCTCATAAGGCAACCATATGATATTATTGTACACTGTAAGTCCGCATAATCTTTCTCCCATTATTCCATCACAAGATGATTTGGTTTATTTCATCATGAAATAGAATGCGTGTACCATTGTGTAATGCAGGCAGTGAATGTAATTCTTCTATGTTGACATTTGATGGTATTGATGTAATGGGAGAGAGACAAGCTGAGGAGGTGAGCTATGAACATGGCACTAAACAGCTTGTATTCCTTTCTTTGCATCTCGAATTTCATTAGGAACTAACCAAATTGTTTGTAATTTCATGTTTTTGTCCAAAAGTTGTAATTTATATGGTTTACTCTGTTCAATCTGTAATGTTTCAACGAAGTTTTGGGTTTATGAATCTGCTGTAACAATCCAAAAATTTTCCACCCCTCTTTTTTCTTTTCCCAGGTCATATCAGTTATAAAGCGTCACCTAAGTGTTTAGAAAATTTCATTTATAGGTCATTCTTTAGGTGGCCTGGCTGCCAGATATACAATAGCCAAGATTTATGAGAGAGATATTTCAAGGGAAATTGCTCGGGAGAATGGACACTCTGGAAGTCACAATTCAGATCCAACAAGTCATAAAAGGAAATCTGAAGTCACCTTGTTCAAAACTTTTAAATAGTTTATATTTATATATTGATTGAGTTAGATTTCCACCTTCTCTTAAAGAATTAGCATGCTTGTCTTTGAAGGTTTGTTCTGATCAAAATCTGATGTTCTGTGCAATAGGTCTGGTAAAGATTTTCACTTGACATCTCAGCGACTAGCCGCTTCAAACCCTTTCATTAAAGATGCATTTGTTGAGGTTCTATGCCCAACAAGGTGTTAGTTATGTGGCTGAAACTGAAAATGTCCATGAAGATCCAAGGTGTTTATCTATCTATTTTCTTTGAACTTAGTTCAAATCTTCTTCAAGTTCCGGTGTTCTGTGGCTTTCATTCTCTCTGGAGAAAGCAGCAACTCATTTTACACTCTTTTTTTTTTTTTCCTGATAAAGAAAAGGGGAAGCCTCCGCTTCTTGCTGTATGAATTTGTTGTTCTTATTTGCACCTCAGCTAATAACATCTTTTTCTTTGGCTGACAAAGACAAGGGGGAACATCTTTTTTTTTTTTTTTTAATGTCAGTTAATCCTGTTTGAGTTCTAAGAACAGTCCCCCTTCCTTACGTCTCTTAAGTTTCTGGAAGCTTTTTTAAACATTATAATTTTTGTTTTGCATCAGACTTTATGCAGAGTTTTGTCCTTTTGATTTTTTTAGTGATCTTTGTTAAGATATAGTTATTAAAAAAAAAAATACATATCCAGGCATGCAGTAAGGTTCAAAATTATGATAGATAACAAATCTAAACATAAATTGTTTTTATTATCTAGCATTTGGGAGTGATTTTAGCATGTTTACTTTGTTTGAATGGACGCTACACTTTATTCTTTCAAAAATCTCTCTTGTAGATAACTAGCACTGGGTTACACTTTAAATTGCTCCTTTTTCACTGTTCTACATCATTCAATTGGTTCTATTTTTTTAACTTCAGTGTATTGTTGGATGGTCACTTACGGTGTATATTTGGCTTTTATACATTTAACTTTTGGGAAAGTTAGACTCTATTGCAAGTTGCTATTCAGAGCCAAAATAGAGATATTGCAAGAATTTTGTTAGTCAATGGTGCGGATAAGACGAGAAGAAAGGGTAACTTCTTTGTTTATCTCACTTTAGAGTTTAGCATGTGTTCTTATAGTTAGCATGCTACAAATGCCTATATATATATATATATATTTTACCATGTATATATAACTTCATTTGGAATTATTTGAGTTGCTATTAATTGCATTAACATTTAATGTTACTAAGCCGATTCCCTGATCAATTTCATCAGATTAAAATTCTATCAGCTTGCTCTAGTGTTACCGATAAATAACTTGATTGTGCTTAAGCTCAAGTGTAGTCTAATGATTGATTTGTAAAGTTGAGATTCTTAGAAAATTAAGTTGGCGACTTCACTCAAACTATTCAACATTAACTTGTCTATATCACATTATTTGCAGGTCTGGAGGCTATTAACAAATAAAGTTCTAGAACCTCATTAATTCAGCTACTTCCTTTCCTACGTTACATTCGTTTTAGTCAACAAGAAACTTGAAAAGAATTGAGGGCCTGTTTGTCATAAAATGAGAATGAAAAATCTATCTCTAATGGATATGGGAAGCTTTCTCTCTAAAGAAGTTTATAAATAGGTATCATTTTATTTATTCTAAATAATTGTTTGACTGATATTTTAAATTTATTTCTCTCTAAATATGTTGTAAAATTATTATGATGCCCACTCTTTCAAGATGAAAGAATTAGAGGATGTACATGGAAGAATTTAGCGTTAATTATAAGAGTTTTGGTATGTAAATGAAAGCATTTGGTTCAAATTAGAGTTGTATCTTTAAAATTAAATTAATTGACCATTTACCTTGAATTTCTATCATTGAAGGAAAGTTTTTTAATAAATTTTGTAGAGTGTTCAATGATATATTAAGTTGTGTATGAATTTAACAAGTATTTATTATGGTTTTTGGATTGTCTAGATTGGTTACCTACAAATGACGTAAGCAAAGTAAGAGGATAGTAAATATGAATTCTTTTTTTTTAAAAAAAAAAATCCTATAAGAGCATTTCTAATAGAAAATGGTCTTGTAGGTGGGGACCTATGGGAGCTTTTTGCAATAAATGCTCCTATAGGCTAGCACCTAGAAGAGTTTTTATGCCATAGAAAAGCTCCTGAAGGCTGGTTTTTATGCCATAGAAAAGCTCTCATAGGCCAGCCTTCGGGAGCATTTTTGCAAAGAAAAGCTCCCATAGGTTGGCTTTCAAGAGCATTTCAAAAGCACTCCCATAGTTATGGGAGCACTAGCTTTCAAAGCATTTAAAAAATGTTCAAAAAAAAAACAAAATAAGTGCTCTTTGTATGCTATTTTTGTTGTATAGAGAGTTTGTTATGATAGAAAAAGATGAGTTGTGACAGTTGCATGGGCTAAGCTAATTTACTTCCACTCAACCTACCAAACCTAAACACACAATTCACACCTCTTACACAAAATATCTCAATAAAATACAACTTTGCTTTACTCAACATTTCACCATTCATAACAAACTAGTATGTGTCCGTACAATGCATGGGTGTAAAATAATAACTAATGATTTAAATAAACAAGAGTAAGATATATAAGTTAAATTACAAATTTTATTTATCATTAAAGACAAATCACTTCAAAATTAAAA